CCCCAAAACCCCAAAACCCCAAAACCCCTCAAGGTATGATCCTTTAATCTTTTGAATATGTAAATATATTAATAAAATGTCTTAGGAGAGTATCAATCAAAAGAAGACACTCGAGGATTTACCAAAGGAGGAACTTATTAAGATCCTTAAAGCCCAGCTAGAGTAAAGAGAGCAGTATAAAATTCAGCTATCTAAGGCTTAAGAAAACTCAGCAAATCTTGTATTTTCAAATTTGACCTTATACTAATAAATATAGAGTCAAATGGTAAAATCTGAGGAAGAATACATTGCAAACAAACTGATGAAAAGGCTGAACGATTTGCAAAAGGAAAAGGAGTCTTTAGTCAAAAAGGTCAAGAAGGAACAGGAAAATCTATCCCAAAACCTTAAGAAAAAGCTAAAGAAGTTACAGTAGCAGAAGGTAGATATGGAGAATCAGCTGGAATAGGAGCAAGAGCAGATAGTCAATAAGCTGAGCAAATAACTTACAGATGCGATCACTGATAAAAAGTAAGATACTTTGCTGCTTCATGATTCACAAACAGTTCCTTGTTTAAGAAGCTAGACTAGGAGAGAAGAACAAAAGAGGAGTTGATGATCAAGATTCAGTAGGAAGAGAAGATGTTGAAGCATATTCTGCAGGAGAGAGTAGAGCGATTGCAAAGGGAAAAGGCTGACATCAATTTCAACAAGGAGATGGAGAGTGAATACAAGATCAACAAGCTTAATAACCTCATGAATAAGCTTGTCAGGGAGAAGTAAAAGCTGGAGGAGTTCTTGTGCTTCGAGGTGCAAACTAAGTAAGAGCTGGTAATTGCATTGGCGAAGGAAAAGAAAAACTTGACAAATGAGATGCTAAGTCTGATTAAAGAGATCAGAAAGTCAAAGCATAAAATCAAGAAGCATGTGGGAAGCGAGAATATCAAGCATCACTACCACAATCATCACTACCAGAACCAGAATATACAGACTAACTCTTCATCATCTAATGAGTCATCGCCTAGGTTCAATAAGAGATCGGCATCTGCTTCATTGTTTATGAATATGCACGGAGCATAGACACCCATCATGCACCACCAGCCTTCTAATGATCTTAGAAACTCAGCTCAGATTCAAAAAGGTGTCAATCTAGACTCATCTATATTATCCTCTTAGTCCTTAGACTAAATGAGATCAAGTGGAGTCGATTCAGTCAACTTAGAATCAGCCAGAAAGCAGGCTAAAAATCAGGATGAAAACAACAATTAAACTAGTTATCCTTAAAATTCAGCTAGGTCTGAGATGTAAAACATACGCTAAAGCGATATATCCGTAGTAAGTGTGAACGACGACTCAGTTAATCTTGGAGAGATGTCTAGAGACCAGCTGACTTCTTCAGAGATCTAGCAAGAACAGGAAAACATGCTGACTCAACAAGAATTCAACTTCCTCTCCACATCCAACACATAACTCACCTCCGAGGTGCTTGGCAATGAGTAAAACATAGATCTGATGAAGATCCTTGAAGAGAAGGACGACTTATTAGCCATGCTTCAGAGAGACAAGGACTTCTATGAGGGCTAGGATAAGAAAATGAGAATGAAGATTGGGTCTATAATCAGACAGCTTGAGGAGGCATAAAAAGAGCTCATCAAATGTAAGCATTTATTATAAAATCATTATTTAGATAAGAGATTATGTGAGGAGATAAACAACAACAAGTTGAAGCCATTTGAGATACAAAGGATAGCAGGGTCTCTAGGTATAATAGCTTAGACTGGCAATAATAGTGGTAGCTAGAATGAACAGGAGTAGATCTAGTTTGTCAATTAGAACTTCATCAGATAAATTGGAGGAGAGTTACTAGCTAGCACAGGTGGTGGAGGGCCTTTTGACTCTTCGATGGAGATGGATCAGTATTCACTCACAGATAGCAGTAGTTACATCAGTGAAGGCAGTAGCTTTAGCCTAGATAGCAAAGAGAGAAGCTGCTCTAACGATCTGAGAAAGTCCTTTGACTCCCAGTCTACCGATTTCCTTTACCAATCTCATGTAAGTTTTCTAATTTATATTATTTGTAGTATGGACTGAGAAACCCAATGAAAGCAAACTTCGATATGATGACTAAGCTAGTCTCCCCAAACAAAGCCTCTTCTAGTTAATCCTCTAACCAGAAAAATGAAAGAGAAAACAACAGAAGATACTGATATTTTAAAATAGATTTAGAATTAAACTTAATTTCATAATTCGACATATCACTTATGGGGTTTTGGGGTTTTGGGGTTTTGGGG